AACACGCATTCCTTTCTTTTAGGTTCGCGATTTAGTTCGATTTTATCGCCGTGGTTGCGCCATTCTGCAGTCAAGGTAAGCGTGATGAAAGCTCCTCATCCATTCGCGGTTTCCACTGAGGATATCCGTGATGGTCATTGTCAACGGACATTGTTAAGATCTTTGATTTTGTGGAATATGTTCGCGTTATGGTTGCAAACGTACATTTGATGGCGGCTTCGCTCATCTTTTTCGCGCCCTTGTGGCGGCTGGGTTTTCTGGATAGATGAAAATGCGTGGTCTCTATATACACCATCGAATGGGTACTTCTTTTTCCCTGTATTTCTCATTTCAAAAGGTTGTGAGTCTACGTGCCTTCCTCTACGAAGTTGTTCGTGTCGCTACTTTATGGTTATAGGTCGATGGTATTGGGGCGTGGTTGGGTTGGCAGGTTGGTGAGTTTGGTCACACTTCTTCGGTTATTTTGCAGGTGGGTTGTTGTAGGTTCTTCGGTGCGGTTTAGTTGAGTTCGCTGCACTGTGTGCTTGGGGAAGGTTTTGGCACCTAGTCTTGACGGTAGGCTCTGCACTAAGCTAATATTGATGGTTGACATTGGGTAGGTGGTGCTTGACCGGGACGGGAGATTTCTCCATTCTTCGTTGCAGCGGAGTAATCCGGCGTTTGACTAACGCTTCGATTGGGGTGATGTCAGCGTCGTTCCCGTTATGAGCGCGCCCGGTCTGGATTTGCGTGTCATTCTATCGAAGAGCGTGATGGTTTTTGACACGCTCTCTTCAGGGATATAGATTGGTTGAGCAGGGGATTGGCATTCCTGTTTTTCGCAGGTCTACGTCAGCTTTGTTGTAGAGCCAACTGGACATCGATTCATCGGGCGGTTAGTGGGAATGAAGGGTGCTCACATGTGGGAGTTCAGTGTTTGTTTGATATACGAAATCTGATGTTGGTTGGTATTGTGATTTGGTCTCCCGAGGACTCTTATGTCAGTGGATCTAATGAAGAGCGGTGGGCCTTGTGTTCTGGAGACATTTGTAGGTGGCATGATGCGA